AGCCCCACTAAAAAATTGCTTTAAGGTTACAGCTTATGAAGGAAACTCCATGAAGAGATACAGTCCACTAAAATCAACTTTTTCATTCGAATAATAAGTCACCAAGATTCCAGTTCCCGAGAATAATATTTCTACATAAAAGGCCACATTTAACATCTTAGCTATTTAAAGGCCATATTTACATGACTGTCGCATTACATTGGCCTCTTTCCTGCACATTCTTCTTGACTTGCTTTAAGGACCAGCACTAAAATAGCTGAGGAAAGCAAATGTCACTGTGTCCCGAAATTTATATGTGTGAGAGAATTGGAATAAGTAGAAATGTAATATATTGTTTACTGTACTGAGTGCCCTCTGTTCTCGAAAGGTCAAAAGCATTGTAACCTTAGAGTTACAGTTTCTGATTGTTCCCAGGGTTAAATACATTATCAAAATTAATGGTTCAAACCCCACAACCTTCAGATATATGAGTATTCATGCCTCCATCTGCTGAACTGTTCAACTAAAAATAGCATTCTTTGGCCTTCATTCCACTAATATTGCGCCCCTGAGGCAGGCTATGCAATGCTTCAGCAGCGTGCTGGATCCGCACCCAGCGGTATAACAAAAGGTCATTTACTTTGTCTGCAATTAGAAGAGAGTACTGAGGAGCAGGATGAGGTGGGAGAGGAGAACAGGACGAGACAAATATGTGTTTAGCTAAAATTTCAATTTTTTAAATGGATTATAAAAACTTCAGGCTTCAAGAACACAGCTGCAACTACAGTTAAGACTTGCCAAGGTTCATTACTTTTCTAAGTGATAAATTTCAAAGGACAGATTACACAAATAGTTTTGGGAAAAAGTTATGAAGTAAAAAAAAAAAAAAAAAAAAAACCTCGAAAACCTCGAGCTCACTTTGTTTAGGAATAGCTCCAGCTAGCATCATTGTACTGCTTCCATTTCTATCAACAGTTTATCAGTGGTGGTTGAGAGTTGCGACATTTCCTTATTTATCACATTAACCAGTTTATAGAAATACATAGGAGTGAAAGCAGACTTTTAAACAAGAGCATTCAGTAACATTTCTTGTGTGAAAGTGAAGACATGTAGGCACCAGGCTCTGCCACCACAGGACTACCAAGGAACCAGCTTCCTGCCACTAGCACCACGGAATCTGAGAAAACTCATTTCATGATCAGCTCTTTCAGACAAACTTCTTTGCACGCACATCTCAAGTAAGCTACCATCAATGCAAACACCTGAAAAGCAGGGATAAAACTCAGGAAAACAGGGAAGGAGAAAAACGCAAGAGAAGAAGCGACTAAAACCAGAGGGGCAAAGGGAAATGACTGACACGTTTCACTGCTCACATGGATTGATTACAGCAACGCGCTTGTGTTACACACACTCACCAGACTCACTTCACACACCACTGTGCATACCTGCTACAGCTCTGCCTGATAATACAGCACTAAACTGCTTGGCAGGACATTGATCTGGCAGGATTTCCTCACAGCTCTTTGCAGCTGGAGGGGTGAACAGAAACAGCTTGGACCCTCATCTTAGGCGAAATGCAGTGGCCTACTCCTTCAGCAGCCAGGCCTGGGCCTACCACACGCATCTAGGCGGCCTTGCTGAGCTCAGCGGTGTGACAGCGGCTTTCTGTGGAAACTGTCATTGATGCTGCCTCCATGAGATCAGTATCTGGATAAAAAAGAAGCTACCTAAAACCAACCCAAAGCACACAATGCCACCACTTCAGAAACACAGACCAGCATAAACACATGGTAATTGCAGCTTTCTATTCCAAGCTGCATCCAAACATGCTCCGTGTTTTACAGCTACTGTTGTTACGTGATGGAGCTGGGAGCAAGTTGCTCTCTGGGCTACTGGGGTCAGAATTTCCATACAAGGTGCCCCAGCACACAGAAAGATAGAAAACACAAAACTGCTGTTACCACCTACCTGAAGCATGAACAACCCTAACAATGTGCCTATAAAAAGCAATTAAACGCTTGAAGCCAAGAGAAAATTTTCAATGACGCTGCATATGGATTATGGAATATAGTTTTACAAGAAATAAGCATGTACTGGTAAAGTTAAAATGCTACAGCTAATGTGAAACATTTTCATTGGAACTGGCTTTCCCTCACCAGGTCTTCAAACATGGGATCTCACATACACACTACTAATGCATGCACAAAACCAGGGCTGCAAATGCATTGGCTGCTTATCCCACCAGCTGGGAAAATAGTTGGGAGAATACTCAGCAGCTGGGAAACCCTCCGACATCATCGTCACAGGAATCATGTAAATAGATAACCGGGTGGGGTGCATGGAAAAAAGGGACAGAGAAGGAGCAGGGAAGGGAAGTAAAGATGGAAAATGAGCTGAAAGGCCCCTCCCCTAGTAGGCCTCATGATGCATCAGCTACTACACAAATTTCCTTTCTCAAATCCACCCAAGTGAAGTGTTATTTTAGGGAACTTTGAAGGAAATTACACAAAGAGAAAATTAATACTATTAATTTTTATAATTTTTAAAATATTATTAATACAATTCAGGTCAGCCAACTTGATAATCAGATAAACAGGTTTTTTTTGGTGTTACACCCATGGAATATTAGTTACAAAGGTTCTGAATATCCACAAGGGTGAAACTCAAATAAAATAAAAAGATGGGAAACAATGAAAAAAAAAATCATCTAAAAATAAATGTGTCTAAAGGGAAATTCTGGCCCCTGAAACACTCAGATGTTTTTCAATTTATTTGCAGCACTTTGTTGGTTAATTTGCTCTTTAATCATAGCGGTGGCTTATAATGGCATTACCGATCACATCTTCAAATTAATAAAATGGTATTATGATTCTAAAACAGGGCTGGTATGCAAACAGCTTTGTGAATCCTAGCTACAATTGCTTCTTGAAAAAAGGTGAGAATGAGAGTTTTACACACTGTTTCTGCAGCAGTTTAACTTTTTTTTTTTTTCTTTTCTGCCCTACAGTCTCATGTAGGCTTACTATTTGTTGTATTGCATTTCAAAGGTAGCGAAAATCATCTCTCTGTTCACAAGGCTGATTGCTAAAGCATTTTCTGAGCTAAAGCTAACAGAACTTAAGCAAGTATTCAAATATAAATTTTCAAAGCACTGAAACCGGGCACCTGCAACCGTTCCTTTTGAAAAGCTCCTCTTTGGTTTTAGGCTTGGGCATATTTTAAATACAGTCTTTTTATTAATGTCTCCCAAAAGGGTCATCTTTCGCCGCAGTTTCAGAAAGTTTCCTGTCCAGGCTTTGATTCGAGCTTAGGTCCACCATAGGCTCGATGAGTCTTTCTAGACAGTCCTGGACTATCCCTGAACAGCAAGTTCTGTCCCTGTTTTCACTTACCCTGAGTTATCTCTGCAAGAAGAGCATCAGCTATGTGCATTGGCTAAAGACTACAGGATCTTTAACTTGCTATGCTCCCTCTACAAAATGATATAATTGCCAAAGATAAATAGGTATTTTGGCATTAATACGGCAGTACTTGGCTACTTCAGGCACAATTTATCCCTACTTTGGATCTGAAGCTAACCATAACCTAACTCAAACAGTGTTTTCAAAGGCTTGCTTGCAAATAGTTACATGCATCTTTAATGGCTTTTACTGTTATGTTCACTGTCACTTGCTTTCCACACATTTTAACTCTGAAAGCTTTTGACTGCCTTTTCATTATTTATGACATTGTTGTGTCTTTTCTTGTGAAATTAAAGACTTCTTGCCACAAAAAGCTACCTAATAATATGGCACATTAATCATTCTTTCACAACATTTAGTTCTATGTGTGCCAAAAACAAACAAATGACCAAACCAAGGCTCCTGACCACGTTTGGCATCTGACCAGCTTAATGCATGGAAAGATTAAGATTACCTAAATCCAGAAGCTAAAAGTTTGCAATTTATTTTATTGTCAACATCACACTGTCTGGGAGGAAAAAAAAAAAAAAGAACACAGTAGTGCACATTTATTCAGCTACACTCACTGCCCCAATTAAAGGTAGTACTGTGCAGCTAGAGGGAAAAGTCTAAAGTAAAACAAAGTCAGAAAGGATCTCTGAACACATCTTCTGACAAGCTGTCATATAAGTTAAAGAATACTATTAACTCCACTGATCTGAAATACACAGTACAAAGTCTTCTGCTCCGAGTAGCCAGGCTGGCCGCACAGCGCTGTATTTACAGCGCCGTAAGTACACAAGGTGTTAATCCTCCCAGGCTGTGCTCAAAAAGTTATTTAACATGCAGACTATTATTTAGCATACAGCTGGCTTGCAGTTTCCCCCTAAAATGTTGGCTGGCGTCCCACATTTTTTTGTTCTGGCACATACCTGGAGCTGCAGAGGGCTGAGTCCAGAAGCGGCGGCAGCTGCCATCGTGGAGGGAATGAACTGCACCGGGTAGTTCTCACCTGTGGGAGAACAATGCGCGCAGGTTCAGACAATAAGCGCCGACCAGAGAGCAGCCGACAAGCACAAACAGGGCCCCCGCTGCTGCCGGGGCTCTCCAGCACTCCCCTAAGCCCAAACATCTGCGAAAACAAAAGGCGGAGCTGGGCATGGGCTTGTCGGGCTCCCCTGCAACTTTTTGCTAGCAGATAGCTGGTAGGCAAACCAGCAGAATTAAACACGAAACTTCCGCTTTGCATGAGCTGAAGCAATGTTCCAGGCGAGCATGGGGACCTGGGCACAAAATGGGGGGCTTAGACCCACAGACAGAATACCCCAGAAAACGCAGTGATTCCCAGCAGGAAAGAGTTGCTGCCATGTGTTGCTTAGAAGAGCATAAATGTGCTCTAAGGTGAGAAACATCAGCCCCATACAAGGTGATTCCTTCTCAAAATCAAGTGACTCTTTCCTGGCCCTACCTGCCTAAGCACAGGTTGAAGTTTTTTATTTGTTTGTTTTTGCTCTGAGGTTCTCTGTCTTGGGACAATTCCCTTCAGGTAGTCATAGACAAAAGAGTAATTAAAGCACTTTTAAAAGAGCCTGAAAGCTAATTCTACTAGGTTCTTAAGCGTATAGGCCCTGCTCAAGGTGAAGAGTTAGAAAGCCTAAAATGCCTGTGTTCTGTTCACTGGTAACAAAAACTATGTGCCTTCTGCACTGAGAGGACAATAAATACTCCAGAAAATAATAATAAAAAATACTACTGAACTAAAACAGGCACTGCAACTTTATATCTCATAGCATCTATGGGTGTTGCCACTTCCGAGTCACGGCAGCA